CATATAGATCCTGTCATAGATCATGCAACTGAACATTGCGGTGCGTGTTTCAGTGTATCATCAGGCCGAGAAGGACGAGCCTGATGCTTGTCGGTGCAGCCCCACTGAGGCTGAGATGCAGCATGTTGGACGCATCTTGTCCATACACTCGTCGTAAATCAACAAGGTGGCTGACTTTGTGTTGGGATTCGAAGCCCAATGATTCTGTCCCTCGATGCTATTCGACCGAAGCCTAACGAGAGCAACCAACCACTGGCTTGAAGTGACGCGTGAAGTACATGTGCCGTATACTATCAGCCTACCTTGTCTTACCTTGTGTGCCTAACCTCCCAGATTGGCCTCTCAAGGCGCAATTCTACTGCGGAACTGACCTTTGGCATGATGCATCTCGTGATGGGCATTGATGTCTTATCGGTATTGAGAGAGGGGAGTTGAACCTTTCCCAACACTGGCAAGACTTGGTGTCACCGAGAAACTCGTCTTATAACTCATATATGCAAGATATATTTCGAATTGTTGTTCTTTTGCTTCTTCCTTCAGCCGTTCGACGTGTAACCATCTGCGAAAATGCAGTCCGGCAATCCTGAACATGCCATGGGAGAGGATGCGTCAATCGATAGGGCCGACAAAGGAAGCAACATCTGCACCATCAACGACGACCTTGGAATCCATCCCAGCGACCAAGCACACGAATCCCAAGACGAACGCTCCGAGGAAGCTCTGGCAAAAAGGGACCAAAGTCTCGACGGAGTTCCCACCGGAGAGCCTGTGGAAGTAGCCATAGCCCCCCAGCTTTCCAAAGAAGAACGTTTCGAGCAAGGACCCTTGAGCCAGGGGCCTTCCGCAAACTTTTTCGAAAGACCATCCGAGATCAGCTACAGACCCCTCCGATATAGACCAGCAGAAATAACCGTGGAAGAAGAACTCTTCGGAGAGGAACCGTTTGAAGAGTACGTGGAGCCACCGCGCCGAGAGTACAACGATGTACCATACCTGGAAGAAGAGGAACCGTACGAAGAGAAACCCGTCGAAGCAGAATCCTTTTATGAAAAAGAGTTGGAAGAAGAGGTCGCATTGGGAAAACGAGAGGTAATCATCGGCGTCCGCTTCTACGACCTCAGAGGCTTCTGCAATAGAGTGATCGACGATGCAGGCGACTTCACAATCGAAGCCCTCGGCTCTTGCCACGCTATTGACAAAGGCATAATCACGGAGAACGCTCGCCGAGCAAAATTTATCGCGCCCACGAGGCCACGGCAGCCATCAGGGCAACGGCCGGTGCAATCTAGAATATACGGG